TTGAAAAATTTTTTTTACAAATACATTAGGGTTGTTTTTTTCATGATGTTATTACTAAGGAAACAGAACTGTGGTATCTGAAATTCTGTGAGAGTTGGACCTCAGTTGAAAAAATTTCAAACAAAAGCGAGAAAAAATGCTAAGCTTCAAATGCTGGCCTTTAAAACTAATTTGAAAATAAAAAAAAATCTTATTAGAAATGGAACCCAAGAATGTGTAATGCTTTTATTGTCTGATGGAAAGCTAACCAAGTCAGTGGAGAAAAGCCTGAGACAGAGCAATATTGCCCAACTTTAGACTCCCACGATCTTCATCTGCTCTGAACTTTCTTGGTTTCCTTTGCATTTAATGAAGATAAACTACGTCTTTTTACTTTATTATCCTTCTAAATTATTTCAGATTTTTCTTGTAGGACAAGATGAATAACACTGCTGCTTTTGTTCCATGGTTATAAAGAAACCTTGCTGAGATGAATTCACCACTGCAAAATTCAAAGGCTTAGTGCATCTCTTGCTTTACTGTACTGTCCTGCACTTGTTTCTAACTTATTCTGAGGAAGAAAACAGGAACTCTGCATTCCTGGACATTAAGAACGTTTACAGGACAGTAAAATTACTTATCCAAAGATCAACTTTATTCAGCTCTGCTAAAATTTGTTCCATTAAAAAAATAGCAGATGAATTTCACCAGGCAGATAAATTTCAAAGTTGTTACTCTGTGTAATGGAATCCCTTGTGATTCCAAGAAAAGAGAAAGGAAAATATATATAGAGTTCAAGTTGTTCTTGATATGAAGAAATGCAGAACATGTAAGCAGAATTGAGGTTTTCCTGTGGGAACATTGTCTGGCTGCAGTTTCTCAATAATGAATTCTGATCCAGAATCATTCTTATGATCTTACTGGTGCAGGCCATCTAACAAGTACAGTGACCGTGGGTCATTACAGTCTGTAAATCAGTTGATCTCTGTTCTTTATTTATGCAAATACAGTGTGTTCTGTGTCTAGGGTAGGAATGAGGGGAAAAATGTAGGACCAAAGCAAGTCATTCCGGAATGAAGATGGGCAAAGATAGGGGAAAAAATGAGCAAAGGCAATGCAGTCTAAACATAGTTATATATGTTATATACTTGGCACCAAACGTATTTCCTAAACAAATACTTCCAAGTCAAGACAAAAATTAAGGAGAAGATACAGTCTCTCTGTAGATATGGTGTACTTGGACCTTTTAAAGGAATAGGCACATCATAAAAATACAATACATAGATGAGAATTAGAAGATGATACAAGTAGCATGTTTTATAAGCAATGGACTTGTTGAGTTGCTAGTAATTGCATCAGAAGTGATTAAAAAAATTAAGAGATTTCTTCTTATCCATTCACAATAGAAGACAAGTGTGAAAACTTTCACTTTGCAGAGTAGGCTTTCTTACCTGGTTGGATCTGACTGAGTTCAGAATGTCAGAGCCAGAGCTAGAACAAATTTCTTGGGACTTAGAATTTATCCATACCAGCACAGTTAACAACATTGCGTTCTTCAAGTCATTTGCATAAACTTACTTATCACATACTCTAAAAACTGGAAAGGTGAAATTCAACTTGCAAATCAAAATTCCTGAAGGAAGATGCATGCTTGAGACGTATGTGACTAATCACTAGTATGTGGAAATGGCATTGATGTGATTGCATAAACACAGATATCCAGCAGCATTTAGCACCACTGCCAAGATTACAGTAAAGAGATCCTATGTCATATCTGCCATGCAGATGTCTTAGAAGCCCTGGGGCTTCTCAAATAGGACTAGTTCACCATTTAGGGTAATGGATATCGTTTGTTAATGATGTCAGTGGAATTGACCAGGAAGTGATATCTACTTAGGGGTGAACTGAATGACTCTTGACTTACAGTTCTTTTTTCTGCAATCAGTATCTCTGGATGCGGAAGGAGAGCTAATATGTTGCCATGAGAATCAGAAAAGTTGGGTAAAGTAAAATACTAAACATGGGATTGTGGCGGATGAGAAGACATCTTCATCCTGTCTCACTTGGTAAATTATCATCCATGATTGCCAACAAAGTCGTTCTCATCTCATATACTGATCTGAAACCAGCTGGTGCTAAATTCGGCATGCTCACTGCAGTATAATGAGTTTGTAGCTGCACTTTAGATTGTCTAGCCAGCAAAAAAGTGATTTAATAGCAGGTTTTCTTACTGCTTATTTTGTAGCTAGAATGTTATTATTCTCTGCTTGGCTTTCCTTTATGTATTAGAAGGGAGATTATATTAATTAACAGAGGTATTCTGTACTGATCAGTAAAAGCACACTTTTGACTGACTACGATTTAAGACATTTAAGACATTAAACATGAAGGTGCTAATATAGCTTACCTGAATTTACTTTGGTATATGTGATAGTAAGTCATGTAGTAAAGCTTGCATCTGTGTGTGTTACACAGCTTGGATTAGTCAGTCAGAAGAATAAAGACATGTACTCAGAAATTCACGCCCTGCAGAAGTGGAAAACCTTTGGGTGATGTAATAGTAAAGGAAATTATGACTCTTTTTTGTGAAACTAAATTCAGTGTCAGGTAAAAGCCAAATACCAGATTAACGAGTTCTCAAAGTGTCAAGCGTTGAAGAATGGCTAGTGTATTGTTGAAAGGAAACGTGCAAGTTGAAATTACTTCTTGTAGCTACTGGATTCTGATCTGTCATGTAAATCTGGGATAAGTAGTCACTAGCAACAGAACTACATAAACAAAATTGCTAGTATCTTTAGTGTAAGCAAACATATTTCAATAATTCAAATATTTTTATGGATTCTTGCTTCGAAATAGCAATATTTCTATTCCTGTCAGCTTCTAATACTTCCCATGTATCATGTGTGTGCGGAGTTGTTTACAGGATTCTCAGAAAAAGTATTTCAAAGCCTAATAAAAATGTCAACATGAGAATTTTTGAATGCAGAAGGGCGGTGATTCACCTAGGCAGAGGGAACTGTCTGGAGTGTAGAGACCATGGTACTTGGAGATGCGCACAGTTTGATCTGTGGAGTCATTTGTTTAACAGCGGATGCATGAGCTTACATGTGCCAAACTTACACACATCTTGGAGTTATTTCTGCTGCTTGGCAGAAGGAGACTGTCTTTGGGGATTGTATAACCGACTCATAAAACATTTCTGCCACTGTGCAGCAGAAAGGGACCATACAGCTTTTTAAGGTTTTCTAGCACAGTGAGAAACCCAAATGAGAAGGAAGAAGTCATTTCTACCAGGGGCTCTGAAGGACACACTTTGCATCAGGAGGCCTGGTTTATGTGATTACCTTTTGAAGAGTACTAGCAAATATAAGTTACAAAGGGATGATGGTTGCTTTAACATTGCAGGATTTGTTAAGCTACTTTGTGGTTCTCAAGACAAGAAGACAAGAGCATTGTAAAGTATTCCCTGTGCTGTCCCCATGATCTTACCAGGTTTTACGTGTATGGCTTTGTCATACTAGTAGACAGCTCACTGCTGCTCTTCTGCAGTGTGCTGACTTCTGTTTAGCTGAGCATCAGTGTTACTATTTACAGGGCATCTCTGCTGATCATTTTTGTCTGAGAAACTGAATGTGAAAACTTCCACTCAGTATTTAAACAACGCAGATTTGCTGTCACTGCAGCTTCTTTTGCAAGTGACATTTATCTCCTTCAAATTTACAATATTTACATGGTGGATGTTAAGAAGCTTTGATTTAGAGACCCTTCAGATTTCTGTTTGCATGTTCTGTAGAAAAGCATTTTAATGGGGCCTGGAACTGCCAACAAGATGATAACAAATAGAACAACATATTATGGAACTGCTGTGCATTGTTTCCAGGCTTTGAGTGTGTTCTTGCTACACTTGATAGGCACAAGGTCAGGGAATAAAATTCTTCACCTCCTAGAATGCTGATGATAGATCATGAGGCTGCCAAATTGTTAAGTCATTTATTGGAGCATCCTTCTTCCATGATTTTGCAGGGCAGGGCAGGCTGAATAAAAAAAGTGTCCAGTGTATTTGCAGCATTTCGAGTGAGTTACTCTTCCGTTTTCTAATAGTTTATTTAAAGGTATTGCTTTATTACTGCTTTTACAGATGCAGCTGTAAGATCTGAGTGCTATTAATATGTGCAGTACGTATAGAAATTCTGTCAGTTTTATTTAACATATTCTATATTGCTGTTAAAAATTTTATTTCACATAGCAAAAAATTCTATAATTTTAGTATTCTATCTAGCTTTGTGCAATCACTTTGCTGTAGGCACAAATGAACAAGCAGTTTCATTCTGAGAGCATTATCATCGTTGTTCAGAATGGGTTTTAATGTAATATGTTCTGGCAAATTTACATATAACTGTAGTTAATGATCAGACTGTACACTTCAGTCTGCTTTTTCTCTGCTGATATAATTCCTTTCCAAGATTTAGCAGCTAACTTTACAACATAAGGAATGGGAAAGGGTTGTTTGGGTGACAAGTATTTGAACATACAGATTAGGAAATGAATGGAATTTAAAGATGTCCTTAAAATTAATGGGACGTAAATGTCCTTAAAATTAAATTGATGTATAAATGCATGACTAAGTACACTGGAGCAGAAGGACTGAGAGATTGCCTCGTTCGGTGACAATCCATTCTTTCAAACTGCATCTCATTCTTACTTTTCAGATGTCTGTGAACATTTTTTGACCAGATGCTTTTTTTTTTTACCTCATAGACATGGGATAATCAGCTAAAATTGCAACTTGTGTGACTGAATTTCTTAGGCTGTATTTCCTACTGATGTCTGTTGGTTTGATACGCTGCATTGCAAAAATATGTTGGAATAAAGGTATAATACATTCTCATCATGTAATATAGAGCAAAGCCTGAAAACAATGCTATTTATTTGGTCTTGAGAACTATTTAATGGAAAACTGTATCACTTCAGTCAATTCAAATATCAGTAAGTGGTTTCAGCATGTGTATATTTTTGTGCAGGTCAACTTCTATGTAAGAGTGAAGGCAATTTATACCCTTGGTCACAGCGTATCTCTGATTGCTCTCACAACAGGAAGTATAATTCTTTGCCTTTTCAGGTATGTATTTTTCGCTAGTAAATATGCGCAATAATAAAACAGTTTTAATTATTGTCTTATTACTGATTGCCCAGATTTAAAAAAAAAAGTATCATTTTTGCATTTTCTCAGACAGCTGACAGTAACGTAATGCCTACAGGATTTTTGCCAGCACCAGTCATTAAAAAAAAATTCAAAGCACTTTACAAATGTATAGACATCACAGCCTACTTAGGAATGAATCTATAAAGTAATTTTTGTTTCATTTTAAAAATCAATACATTGAATTGTTCTTGAAAATAAGTAGAATGCTGGTCTCAACACCAGACAACTGGTGCTGTTCAGAAACTTCTGAGTGGTCTCCAGGCATCACAGGTAATCCAAGAGGGTTTGTAAGGGTGTGGGTAACTGTGCTGAAGGACAATACTTGGTGTGCAGTGTTTTACTTAGGCAGTGTTGGGAAAAGCAGTACTGTCTGCTGTTTTTGGCTCATTTCTGGGCATTTTCTGAGACAGAAAGTTATCCCCATCTGTCAAAAGAAAGAGCAAAATCTTATAATTGATATCATAGCTTTCCTCATTTTCTCAACTTTCATGCCGTTATGCTTCATTTCTGTCTAATTGAATGGCTTTTATATTATCCAGTATTAACCTTACACAACTTTTCATTTCCACTCTAAGAACAAGAAAATGCATCTCTCAAATTAGTAGAAAAAAATTACATGTAGTATTAGATGTAGAGGGCTGCATAGTTTCAGTCCTCTGATTAGCTTGTTACTGTGGCATGCTATAAATTTTGTAGACTACTGTAAGATTTTGTCAATATTTAAATATTTAGAGGCAGTTCAGAGTGGATAAATGACACATGACACTATTTTGGAATATCTTTGAAAAAAATGGAGTCACTTAAGGGTATAATGTGTCCACTACCAAACACTGAAAGCAGATCATGCATTTCAAAACTGCTAATACCCAGTAACACATTTCAGATATTATATCATAGACATCTGAGTGTAACAAAGAGACACTTCTTGTGTCATACTGCAGCTGATGCAATTGTAAAGTGTCAGTGAGAAAAGTGAATGTAAAGGGCTGTATGTCTCTGCATATCTCTGAGTCGTATTCCATCCTGTACATTCTGGTCTGTTTTTAAGGACAGAGTTTGAAAATAAGATTCTGTAAAGTTTAGCTTTCTGCTACTTACCTGTTTACACCTGCTGTCCAAAACGTACACTTTGCCCTGAAAGGGTCCAGAGGTTCTTTATAGGCAATTTCAATATAGTATTTGTGAAGATAGTTCACTCACCCCTGAAATACATTCTCCTTTGCATGTAATCAGCAAACTGTCTTTGTTGTATTTAAAAAAGACATTAAACAACTTTTCAGGTCACATTGACTAAAGGAGATTGGGTAGTTAAGAAGATAGCTAAAAATCACTGGAGTCACTAAAGCAGGAGGGTTGTGAAAATTCTGACTTCACCCAGCAGGATTAGGATTTAAACTTGCATATTACTAAAGCCAGACATTATGAAAATTATGCCTCGCTGGATTTTTATATGTATGCTACCAATTGTACTGCGTTTAATCATGAATATATTCAGTATTACGTTATAAATGAAAACACGGACATGAAAAAGAAGTGGAAATTCTTTTTCAGGTACTACTGTTTAACTTCCACGCTCCATTGTATATTATATCTGGCAGAACAGATACAGCCTCAAGCCTTTCCAGTTGTTTAAAATATCAGCTATAAGCACAAGAAAAGCAGAACCGTTGGATGATAGAAGGTGATTTTGCCTGAAAGTTTCCATGCAGTTGAAGTTCGTTTCCATGCAGTTGCAGTTCTGTGCGTCTCTGTTATGTTTCTTCCAGAGATGATTCCCACTTTACTTGATCCTACAAAACCGTTAGATAGCCTTCCATTGTTAATACATGCAAAGGACAGGTTTAGAAGCGTTGCAAAACAAAAGGATTTCATCTCTGAATAATCTTCTAAGCTCAGAATAGAGGCATATTAAGGTCTGTAGTATCATTCTATATTAAGATGGCAACGTTTTTCAAGTTGCCGTGGTGTCACTCCCCACGTAATTCTCTGTGTACTTACTATGAGTAAACTAAATTGGAAACTCTCTGGCACTATACTTTCCTGTTGGACATTGCCACATTGTCAGGGCTAGTCTTGTTTCTGTAAACATTTTATAAACATTGAAAGTAATGATTTTGACTTAGTCAAAAGTAGTATTTTTACCCTACATACAGTGTACATTTCTGTTCCTTCATTTTGAATGTCTGAATTTTAGTATATCATGAAGTTTTAGAAAATTGAAAACTGATTTGAAATAATTAATATTTTTCTCATACTTTAAAACATTTTTTTTTTTTCCAACTCAGAGTGAAAATGAATTGTAGAACAGCATGTCTTTGTGTAACACTTAGATTCAAGTTACTACTGTGGAGCTCTTAGAATACTTCCTTCAAGATAACTCCTGTGTTGCAAAACCAAAAAAGTCAGATTCTCTACCTGACACTAATATGTGTATCTTACCAAGAAGAAAAGTATGACTGAATCATTTTTACAAGATGTGTTTTCATGTGTATCAACTATCTGTCAAGATTCAAGATAGTTTTCTATCATGACTCACGGTGAATAGAATAGCAGCTTTTGTTTTGCTGCTAAAAAACAGCATTTCTTTGTTACTCTGAATCATCGTACCTAGCCCTAAATAAAAAGATTTTTGACCACCTACTCTGAAAGGTTGATTTGACAGCCTTTTGCAGATGTAATGTTATAATTTCATACACTGAAGGGGATGAAAAGCTAGTAATATAAGTTGGTCACGAAAATATTTTCTTCCACTCCAGTCTTGGTATGTATTTCGCTTGTACTGAGTTCCATAGAAAAGTCTGTTGCTGTCCAAAATAATAGTAGTATTTCAGCTTTTCTCAGAACCATTTTCAGTGAAGGACACATACAGCCACAGCAATGAGTGTTTTTTTTAACAACTGCTCTAAGTTCAGCCTGGTATTACATCCTTGGCCAATCTGCAGGCTAACGAGATGGATTTGTCATTTATTTCCCATTGCTCTCTCTAACTGTGCTTGTGCTAGTCATTTTAGAACGTGCTATTTGGTGTTCTGCAGAAATGTTATTTTATGATAAAAACATGAAGATGACTTAGAAACTGGCATTGCATACCAAAGTGCTAGCTGTAACATCCTATTTCATCTTCATTCTTTCATTGCTCAGCTTGCTAAAATGTCCTGGCTTCTGGCTATTATTCAGATACAGTTCACAGTTCTGATTTTGACCAAAAAAAACCCCTTTCAGTAGCTTGGTTTCTGGGGATTGGCTAAAACAAATTTCTGTTACATAGGATGATCTTGGAAAGAATGTGTCTTAACTGAAAAGCCTTCAACTTAGAACTAACTTCTCCTGAACACTCAACACTCAATTGGAATATTTAATTTGTCATTTGTGTGTGAGTCTTTCACGTGTGTGCTAAAGAATGCTAAACATGCCTAAAGAAGGGAATTTTTACATCTCAATGGACAGAAAGACAATTTAATGCTTTACATGCATTTTTAATTGTTCTGGCATTGACATACATCATAAGATAAAAAGCCATTATATAGAGAAATTAAAAAATAAAACCAGGAAAAAAATGATGAGAGTGTATCTGAAATTTATGCAGAATAAAATAATAATAAAAGTTTTATTTGCATAAAAAATGAGTGCAGACAGAATGATAATCAGTGTTTACTGTCCATTTACATTAAAGTGGGAGAGAAACATTTTGGGATCTTTTGGTCTGCATTGCTGAAAAGGAGTAAGAGATCATTTATTTATATATCTTGGACAGTATATAATGATGACAATGCTGAGATGATGTTAAAGGAACATGAGGCAGCACTGAAATATGATGGAGGAGGAAAGGGTAGGTCTTACTTGAGGTTCCTATTACTAAGAAACAAGCAGAGATGAGTAGAAGCCTGTTCAAGAGGTTTTCTGTCTTGAAATCTAAAATGACTGTTTTTAAATCTCTCCTTAGAAAACTTCATTGCACTCGGAACTACATCCATCTGAACCTGTTCCTCTCCTTCATTCTAAGAGCAATCTCTGTTTTAGTCAAGGATGATATTCTCTACTCCAGCTCCAACACAGCTCACTGTCCAGAGGACCAAACATCATGGGTAATAAACCTCATTTACAACCTGATGTAATACTCTTGTATCACTAAATTATCCTCCTGATGCTTGTAAATATTTGGGTATACCAACCTGCCAGTGTAGGCAAGTGTATAGAGAATATAATGACTGTCCAAGTGATCTGTTAGAAGTAGACACAAGTAGGAGAAGCAGAAGAAAGAGAAGTTGTTGTTGGTTTTTTGTCCATGTACAGACAGACAGCAGGTCACCTGCCAAAACAAATTACAGCCAGTTATAGCTAAGTAGAGCCACTGCATTAATACAGGGAGATTTTAAGGCAAACAGGAGTGCCATCAGCCAAGAAGGGTGAAAGGCACCTTCTCTGGAAGTGTTCCAGCTGCTCTGTCAGGGGTCCAGGAATGAAACGAGTCAGTGATACAGATATTTGCAGGAGTTGTCTTTATCCATTTATTTTCTGGATATGACAGAAGCATTGTCACCTGAATTCTTGGCAAGTGTGCTAAGTCTGGGTGGTGCAGACTTAACTTTCCCTCCCAAGGTGCTATACTTTGCACCTGTAGCTAAAATAGTGTTGATATCACACCAGGGCTTTGGCTGTAACAGAGCAGTGCTGACACAGCATCAAGGCTGTCTCTCTGCAACCAGCCCACAAGACCACTAGGCTGCGTATGGGCAGGAGGTATGGCGGGAACATCCCTGGGACAGCTGATTTCACCTGGTCAGAAGAACATTCCTTAACTTATGCTGTCATGCTGAGCAAAAAAAAACAAACTGGGGTAGGAGGAAAGTGGGAAACTCCTGTACAGCTGCGTGATGCTTAGCTGCTTGTGTTAAACCGCAATCTGATATGTTTACTGCATTTTCATACACAAAGTTTAGAAGTATATATTGTCCTACTGCAAAAATGCTAACTATGTAATATTCCCCATTCTTTACCTCCTTTGTTTCAGCCAGAAGTGCTGCAAAAGAACTATAAATATAACTGAATACCTTCAGAATTAATTTTGTAAAGTTTAAGCTTGCGGAAATAAAATGGAAAGAAGGTATTTTTATATTGATGGATCCACATTACCCCAAAGTATAAAATCTTAGCAGTGACTACCAAGCTGTATGTAAGAATTAGCAATCTGGGTCCTTTCTAATGAACATGTAACAGGGTTAGTAGGGCCAATCCAGGCCGAAATTAGGAAAAGTAGTTAGGCAGACTAACAGGAGTAATCAGGTTAGGTCCTTCAAAGATTGGTCAGTGGACCCTGGAATGCTCTTTGTTTTCTGCAATTTCTTCTATTCTCCAGTTATTCTTTGTAGGAAAACCTCTTACTTTCCTGGTGGAATTTGTCCATTTTTGCGGACTGCTGAATAATTTCTTTTGTATTATATGTGGAATGATCTGATACCACATGGCTGTGGCTGTTTTGCCTTACATTGACTCACATTCATCACGTGTGTGATGTTCCACAGTTCCACATGCACATTTAAGGGCAAACAATTCAAAATGCAGTGTAATTAGGTCCTGGATCTGAGTAACACTGATACGTAATCCAGGGGGCGTTTGGAGAATGCTCTCAGAAATATGGTTTGAATTTTGGGTGGTTGCTGTGTGGAGACAGGAACTGGACTCAATGATCCTTGGGAATCCCTTCCAACTCAAGTTTTTCTATCATTCTATGATGCATGATTTTGGCTGACTCTTTAGTGATGGATGCTTTCATTGTTCAGCATCTGAAAAGATGTCTAATACAGGATTTGCTGCAGGAAGAAGGGAAAGTATTTTGTTGTAAGTTTCTGGTACGTAAGTCAAGAACACAATTACACAGGTAAATATGGATTGGCATTTTAAGGAGAGAAAATTTTTAGACATTGATTGCTAATTTGGTTGTGAGCAGCCATAAACATCAAAGCAAATTTTAGCTTGCATTTTGAAATATGTAATGTTTTCCATGTTAAATGTTCTAACCCATTACTGATCTGCAGTTTATGATCTTTCCATGGATACAAAGTCCAGAGGTAAGATTGATTCTACCAAACAAGATCACTGAACTAAGCTGTTTCTCAAGGCTTCTGTCTTTCTGACTGGGCAGCTTATCTCATCTGTTCAAAGACTTTTCTCTGGATATGCCTGTCTCTCTTCATGAGCTGTAGAAGTATCAAATAGGTGTTTGTCTTACATCAAAAACCTTACTCTTATATCAAGAGTTAAGTGAAATTAATTCAAGACTTTGTGCTTCTATTTAGATTTCTGAATGTATACAGGCAGGCAGTGTTACTCAAGATGCAGTGAGTTATCCAGGACACCATGTAGGGCTGATGGATACTAAAAAGTTCTGGACCAGCACCTGGAGTCTAGGTTAACTTAGGGTATGTCACATAACAGACACTTGTGTAGACAGAGGTATCAACCAATAAATAAGTAAATTACCTGCCTAGGTATGTCATGTACTTGGAATTTTAACAAAAGCTGTGGACGTACAAAGAGAAGGGAAAAAAGTAAAGCAGACAGAAGCTGTAAGCTTTGTTTAGTCCATTTTGTTTAGTCTGTTACATTCGCCATATCATCACATTTCTCAGCTCAGTCTCAGCAGGAATGTTTTGATGTTCAGCTCACACATCCCAGATTCCTGCTGAGAAAGGCTGAAGTAGCAGCAGCTAGCACTGTGAAACATCAGCAGAGCAGAGCTCTGAAAATTAATTCTGAAGATTAGCACAGAGACTGTAGTATTTTGCGACTTCATTTTATGTGTCTTTTTGATTAAGAAACCATAACATTTTCTAAATGGAAAACATTTTTTACAAATCATTCAGCTTTTTCCTCTATTTCTGCTTAGAAGATTCAGCATATGAAGTTATAATTTTCACTCCATTTCCAGTTTAGCCTTTAAAAACTCATAAAGCAATTTCATTATTACTTTTTACTGTGTTAGGAAGACAGATGAAATTTGAATATATTTATTAGCCACCTAGTAGACAATCACTTAATCTAATAGCCATTCATTTACTATTGAAAATGTATGCATTTATTGATAACCACCTTCTTTTACAGAATTTATATTACGATATTTTCAAAATTTCTGAGTGCATTTGCTATGATTATGATACAGGCAAAAAAAATCTACTCAATCTGGGAGTAACATACACAAGATGCTTCTCCTGGAGAGAGTTAAAATGCGTAACACGTAATAACAGAATAACACAGCATCTTTCCTGCAACAACTCTGACTCCTGTTCTCACATTTCAGGTGGGCTGCAAAGCTATTCTAGTGTTTTTCCAGTACGGTGTTATGGCGAACTTTTACTGGCTATTGGTTGAAGGACTTTACCTCCACATCCTCCTTGTGTTAATATTCTCCCCCAACAGACACTTCACAGTCTATCTGCTGATTGGATGGGGTAAGAACGCAAACGCCTTCCAATTAAATAATATATTTTAATCTGTGTATTAGGTTCAGTATCTCACATGAAATGATGAAATGATACAGTTTCTGTTGACTGATGCATGGGCATGACTCCTTGGGAATTTTAGGTCCCCTCATCAGCTCATCAGCATAGGTGCAGCCATTTTGGCATGGTGGGGGGAATAAGCACAGAGCCCACACGCTCATCCCTCAGAACCCTCAGTGCTAACTTATTAGTTGGCTCTGACCTCTGCCAGTCTGCACTCCTGACAATGCCAGGAGTTGCTCAAGGAAGAGGATGATGTGGGTCTGTCCTATATTTGGGAGGAGAGAGAAAATATAGCTGCACAGCCACAGACTGTGCTATTCTACGTGCATTTTTCAAAAGCCCAATAGTATTTTCCATCTGTTTCTAACTACACGTGTTCCTGTAAATTACTGAAAGTGCAGTAAGGTATGGACTTCCACTAGTAAGTGATCATAAAACATTAGGTATTGCTTGGAAGTTACAATAAGCCAGTGTATGGAGTTGGATCCTTATGAAATGACTTACTCTTCATTTTTATATTGTAGTCCTTGCAAATACACTGGGAATGCTTAAGTTGTATCTGTGTCCCTACAGGTCCCTCAGACGGCTTGAAAGACACATAAGAAAGGCTTGTGCTTTGTGTATTAGCAATTAAAACTATGTAAGAAATGTAACCACTTTTCTGCAGACTTTGTAACACGTGAGCTTCCCTCCTAGCTCATCAGATGGGTCTCACACCCTTACTAAACTGTTTAGCATATGCTGAATATTTGGGAAATAAATGGTTACTACTAGTCTGAACTAACTTTCTGATGATTGTTCTCTTTGCTTCAATTTCAGGAATTCCTACCATATTCATTATTACATGGACAGTGACACGGATTATTTTAGAGGACACTGGGTAAGTATGCTGGGGAGAAAAGCTTAGAGCCTACAGCTGTGCCACTACTAGTCATGTTTTGTATGTGGTGGTTTTCATACAAAAGTAGTTTGCTTTTCTGAAGGAGACAAAATTTCAGTAAAGATTTAGATGTTCAGAAGCTCTTCAGAACACAGCTTATGCTGCCAGTTTACTTTGAAATGCAAAGTGCAAGAGTGGTTAGAGAGAGGTTATAATTGATGTTACCCTTTGAGACCTGCGTGTAGAGCTGTCTGATTCAAAGGTCAGAACAATACTTAAAGTAGCAGTGGGGGTCCTTGGATTGTGTGCTGCCATGCAGTACTGGGCATCCTAATTTCAAAGAATCATAGACTCGTTAAGGTTGGAAAGACCACTAAGATCATCTAGTCCAACCATCAACCCATCACCTACTACTAAACCGTGTCACTCAATGTGACATCCACCTTTTTCTGGAAAATCTCCAGGGACAGTGACTCCACCACCTCGTTGGGCAGCTTGTTCCAATACTTCACCACTTCTGAGAAGAAATTTTTCCAACCTGAACCTCCCCTGCCACAACTTAAAGCCGTTACCTGAGGCAAACAGTTATCGCACTCCACTTTCATGGATCTGGCTGATATTTTTTGTTCAGTACTGCTTTTAAACTGAAAAATCATATTGCACATAAATTCTGCTTTCTTTGCAAGACCTCCAACTTGTAAACTGAAGGGTAGCTCCTTTCTCCTTCATCATTACTATGTCAGAGGAACTTTGTAGGGTATTACTGTTGCTTAAAATTACTCTTTCAGAGTGTTCATGCTCAGAGTATTTATACCAGAATTGCTGAGCTGACAATGGAAATTAATTTTTCAGTTTTTCAGACAAAGTTTCAGGTTCAGTCTCATATTTTCCTAAGCCAGTTCTAGCCATCCATAACCTAAATATCCCACAGGGAAATGATGACATTTAAATTGTAGCTGTCAGTTGTGTTAGATCTTCCTGCTACCTAGAGGCTGTTGTTGAGTGCCTGCTGCAAAAGTATCCTGTCACAAAGTGAAACTTAACGTGGTTTTCCTAAAGGTCATCATCTTCCACAACTTCTAATGTTATGGTCTGGTGCCTAGTATTAAAGCTCATTTGAATGTTTGTATTGAAAACAGAGAAACAAAAATAAAAAGCAGAAAAAGATTAAATTCCAAATTCTAGGATTTGTGATTTTAATGTTCTTGGACTTGCATATAGCAAACACTTCTCTTCATAGATCTTGCTTGCCAGATGGTATTAGTGTCAACACAATTTTCCCTCTTTTTTTTATAGTTGCTGGGATACAAATGAGCATGGTGGTCCTTGGTGGGTTATACGAATACCAATTTTAATTTCTATTATAGTAAGTAAACTTTAAAGCATGAATTATATATCAGTTCAGCACTGTGCAGTGCATGTAGCCATTATTCTTTGCTGCTAGTTACAGACAAGCAAGAATTCTGTTTTAATGAGAAGAAATTCACGGTCAAAGACATAAAATAAGATACTGAGCACATTAAGATTTGTTGCCTTCAAAATTTATCTGTCTCCTATTAAATGAATAGTTGCTTTTATTTGTGTTTCGTTCTTGCTTTAACATCCCTCCTCCTTATGAGCCTGGGGGAAGCAAAAATCTAATTATGCTTTTCAATGAATTGAAGATTTGATTTTGCTTGTAAATAGATAGCTCTGCAACTGAGAATCTAATATTATTGCAGCCATAAAAAAATATAGCTGTGTATATCTTTCTTTAATTGGTAGCCTAATGCAAAAGAATACTGTTTGAGAATGCTTCGTGGGGCTTTATGTGGAGCTCATTAGAATTACTGGAGTAGCATAATGAAATTCCTGTTCATTGTGATGACTGTGTAATTAAATTTGTGCATTATAATTTATTGTTTATGTCAATTTCTGAAAATAGTCACAGGGAAAATTAATTCCTTTCAGATACACGTGCTTTAGTTTTAAAATTTTAGTCAGAGAAGGTAGGTCATTGTTAGATTATACAAAATCCCAAAAGCCTAAATTAGCCCAGAATTGACATTTGGGCTTTCCTTTCAGTTTGTGCCTGCTGAAAATCATTTTGAGAAAACTTGCTATCATTTCTGTAGTGTTTAAAGAGTAAGCAGCGTAGTGTGGAATGAGATGAAGCAAGGGCTCCAAAAAATCTTCTAGTATACAAAGAAATAGATGTGCAACAGGGCTACAACAGGAAGAATATGTACCTCAGGTGAGCAGGAGAATGGGAGATGGTCCAGAGTAAACAAAATACACTGAAAAATGAAAGCAAAACCACTTGGTATTTCCAGAAACATGAAAAAGCCTGTGGAGGTCCTATGGAGCCTATTGAGATTCTGTTTAAACAGCTGTCTGAGCTGAGACTTCATGTGCCAGATAGCAGTACTTCTCCAAAGAAGTCCTAGGTGAGGAGATGAAAGTTACCTAGGTGTTCACTGGCAGACTTGAATTCCAGCTGAATCTTAGCATAGAGTAGGAAATGTATTGGGAGGTAAGAAAATGGAGTATTGGTTGGTTAGTGAGAAAAGTCCAATTTTTTGTAACATATGGACCAGAATCATGAAGGCAAAGGAACAGCCATGCTCATTTTTTACTGGTTCAGTTGCTTGCATGATAAGTGGGACTGTAAGCCATATAGAGGCATTTTGTTGATCTTTTCTGGCTTGCCAGGCGTGCACATTTGGAATCCACTGTTACCTTCTAGAGATGTCTCTTGTCTGAGGCAGCATGTTTTAGGGATGAGAGCAACTAAAGATGACCAAGTGATTCTTCTTTGTGTAAAACCACTTCCTCCATGCTCTAATTAGATGATTCTCTAGCAGTTTGTTCATTTTGCATTTGAGGAGCTGTGAAAGGAGATTTCAGAAGTTCAGGCAGCTATTCAAGGCAGTGATACTCACCCTTTCTTGACAGATAAGTAACACATACTGTTGGAGCATCAGCCCACAGTCATCACAGCCACTGTGGCATCTAGAACGCCATTCAAGTACAGAGTGCATGCATGGAGTAAAAGTAGCTAATGAAATGCCATGTAAAATTGGTCACTGATGCATAAAAATACTGCATTCACGGAAAAGCATTTTCAGTGTACATACATACGTATTTCCATTTACCTTCAAGAAAAAGTAAAACTGAAGCCACAAGTCTTTGAATAATGAGTTCAGGGCTGCCTGCCATTCATCAGTGAAAGTAGATCACTACAAATCCTTTGAAAAGGGGTTGTGAAAGTTGTGGCATTTCTGAATTGAAGGTATGATTTCCTGCATCATACTCACACAGAGTCTTCAGTCTGTTCTTGAGGACTGTAAAACTTAGAATGATTAAAAGGATGATCAGCAGTAACAAACGATTTCAGCGTTAGGAAGGACAAAGACGTGTAATTAGTGAGATGGGTACAGGAAGATTCTGAAAGAAGCTGGATTTTGGTAAAATAAAGGATAGTAAAACACCAGAGTTCAAAACTGTTATTGATTGTCTTACATGATAGCATGGAGGAAAAGCACAGATGACAGATGATACTGAAAATCTTCACTGTTTTCCATTGATTTCTGTGCTACATCCAAACACATTTCACTGGTCAGAGGTTATAGTATCTATATTCTCATTATCCAGAACTAAATAGCTTTGTGAAAGCAAGTTCTGAAGTCACTTCCCTAAGTGGGAATAGCTGCAATTAATGCATTATGTCAGAAGCCTTCTCTGGCATCGCCTCCTGACAATTTTGGCTTTAAAAAAGTTAACTGGCAGGTTGCCATACTTGATGCTGTACACATTTCAGAGTTGTTTAATTAGTGATTCCTATTCCAGACAGATAATTTGAAGTACCACACATTTGGCAAATTGCTTCCACAACTGCCTTCTTCATACTTTCACTGTAGTGAACTCCTTTTGTTCGAGAAAGAGCACTTTTCATCTGGAAGCTGTACTTCTTTTAACTACAAAGCAGATGAAAATCATTCATCATGTTATCTCATATGGCAACTAGTGTAGCAAACTAAATAGCAGAAAGAAGTAACATGAAGGCAGTTTAAATGATCGCTCAGGCAATGTGTGTAGACTCAAAAACTGACAGCAAGTCAGCCAGTAACAAAGGGTATCAGCAACATCTTGCTGTTACTCCAGTAAAGAGGCATCAGTTGTTTCTGTCTTACAGTTCGTCTGCAATCATATTATATTCTCATTTTACTGTTCTTAGATTTTCATTCAGCAGTGTACAAATTATATCCTGTATAAAGACATCACACTCAAAGCATTTTTGTAGAATCTCAAAATGGTTAAGGCTGGCAGGGACCTGCAGAGGACACTTTGTTCCCTCTGACTGGGTTTACAAACTCAGCAGCATCAAGGAATGTTACAAACCCCAAACAAGAATGCATGTTTTTCATTAATCCGAGATTGTGCTTACAGAGTGAAAATGACACATTTGAAAACAGACTTAAAGGTGATATGTGTATGACAGGCAAGAACGTGAGTCACCTTTTTGTAGTTTTGCAGATGATTTGATACCTTGGGAACCAAAAGGATGACAGTTTATTCTGTTGTGGTAGAAATTAATGAGGTCTGTCAAGAAAAAGAAGTGGTTCTGCTTTTGTGCAAATGTAAATAGTTTTCTTATTTTCTCCTGTTTTGTGGATAGCAAATATATGAGGAAGTGGAGGCTTTCTCCTTGTTCACAAATAATAGCTCCACTGCACATATGTGTACTTAATGTGTATCCTTCAGTCTGTAAGCTATACTGTGGTATTTAATTCCATAGATTGGATCAGCAAGATCTGCTACCTATTACTTTTACAGAATTAATCAAGTCAAACTTCAAACTCATCATGCATGAAAAATATGTGTTTACTTCATTAAAGGCCTGTGTTTTCTAATGCGCCAGAATATCCAGGAACAGAACAGCTAGGGAATGCAAGATACCAGAAGCCAATGAAGAAACTATGAGTGAGATTCATAGTCCTGCTGAGTGTTAGGCTTGGATGTTCTAGACTGATCAAGGTCTGATGATAACTTTTTTTTATCCAAGTGCTTCCATTCTCCTTCCATGAAATGAGGTAGTCCTAGTGTTCTATTCTAGAATGCTGTTACCAGGATAAAATGTTATACTGCAAGAGTCTGATTTCTTCAGTCAGAATGTATTCATCAGTACCCAGGGCAGACAGGTAACTCTCCATGCTTGATGGAAGTGAACAGATTGCCCATTCAGCAATCTTCTATTCTCCCTATCCAGACAGAAAATAATGTGAAGATGAGAGGCAAGGGAGGATCAAAATTGTAAGCAGGACTTAGATTGTCCTTTTGCTTCCAATCATGGATCCAAACAACAATTCAGGACAATCATTGATTGCACTGGATCCTATCCAGTGTCCCATCCTGCCAAAAAAACTGTCTTCAGTTGAGATTTCAGATGCAGAGCATTGCTGACAAGTGGGACATTCAAAGGCTTGTCCAGACAAAGAGTAGTAGCCATGTAGAGGGGCACTGGACATAAGAGACAAACAATAGATTTAACTGTGTAGAGCTAAACATGTTCTGGCAGGAGGTACACAGTGCTGACTGCTGAGTTGATTACTCTGATTTGATAAGCATTTCTTGGTGCTGCATCTTGAATGGAGAAGTCTGAAATCACCATTGTATTTGTTTTCTTTGCAGGTGAATTTTATACTTTTCATCAGTATTATAAGAATCTTACTCCAGAAGTTAAGATCACCAGATGTTGGAGGGAATGACCAGTCACAGTACAAGTGAGTCATATTTTAGGCTTTATATATAGAATTAAACTAATCTCTATAAGATTTACTGGGCTGAAACCTGCTACTAGTGGTTGCTGTGACAGTATAATTACATTTAATTCAAAAGCTCCTAATTTTAGGCAATTAAATAAAGGTTGTAACATTATGTTTAAGCAGAGATTAACATAATTTTTTCGAACACCAAATTCAACAAAAAACAGACAATTTCATAAAGACCAACAAGCTGCTCTTGAATTTGAGTTAATTCCATGAAAGAATATGCTTATGCATATTATGAGAAATAGTATTTTTCTTTTAATGTACAAGTATTTCATTTCGGCATAAAAATAGCAAAATGTATGGCTTCAACCTATTTGAAAACTTCTTTTTTCATTTACAAAACATTTTTGTTTTAATATTTTAATATATTTTAAGAGCAAGTAGGAAAGAAATTGTTTCCATAAGTTGTTAGGAGGAAATATAATGTGCTGCATAGAACTACTCAGTTCCTTTTTGTTTTTGTGTTATTGAATTAACTGAATATGTGAGAGAACTAAATCAACCTAGATGAAATTACACAGTCACCACAGTATTATGTAGCACACTGACATACACAAGTATATATGGCAGGAAATCTATTTGTATATATACATATATATATTTATACAGGCAGGAAATCTGCATATTTCTTATGAGAGAACATTTTGTTTCCCTGTGATATTTATGCATTTTTGTGAAAGTAAAGCATTCCCTTCCTGTCTGTCCCATCATTTTCCATAGTTTACTGCATGTTATTAGTTCTGTAACAGCAACCTTGTCCTTCATTGTTCAGCCATGTGAATTCTTTGCTTTTAGCAATTGATTGCCTGCTTAAGTTTGGACTGGGTAGTCTTTAGCAGATACTCATGGGAACAGCAGGTTAACTATCTCAAGAAATACTGTTTCTCCAGATCAAATTAAAGGTTTGGAAGGCTCATTTTTCAAAATGCAAATGTGCTTTCTAAAATACAGTGCAGAATTTTCTGTGTCTTTCCTTCACTAAAACAGAAAGTATTATCAGCTGGACAAAATATTGCTACAGGAATGGAGTGAAAGTATGAGTATAAAACAAATACTACCCATTTCGAATCATAATTTTTCTTCCCTTCCTGTGTCCCATCTTTACCTGGTTTCATCCTTTTTGATGCTCATTTTACTTTTGCAGTAGGAAAGGTTAAGTTGAAATAAAATCAGTTTTCCACTTCACTTGGGAAACCAGAAATTTGCTGCCCTCATCATCTCCTTCAGTTGCAAATTAATTTCTTCTGCCAGAGTAACCCTGTTGCTAACAGTTACTGATATCACTTTTAAGTATGAGGTTTTTACTATTCTCGAGAAATTCTGCTGTCAGAACTGATTATTTCCATATAAACAGATGTAGCCTCTGGGACACTATGAGAGAAGGAAGGCCTTGAAGACTGACACAGAAAAAATAAAACTGCTTGTAATACATCGACTATTGTAATAAAGTAGGGAAATCACAGCAGCTTCCTTTCATTGTTGAATCCAGTTAGATTCACCAAGAGAGTGATGAATTATGGTACTCAACATTACAACTTCTTGAATTTTACCTGATAGCAGACATCCATAATCATGCATGACTGGTCCTCCATAATACATGAAAGTGATGTCATTGGAGTGAAATGGGTGACAGATAAGGGATAATTAACAATTCATCATTTCACTGGTTTCAGAGGCAGTTTGTCAAAACTGTCCTGCTTAATAATGAAAAGTTGACATTCTTAACTTCAGTAGTGTCTCGTGATAAATTGCACTACGTAATTTATAACATGAAATGAAATTTCTCATGGTATATATTTCATACTATCATTATAGTAGTGAATTTGGGGGTAAATCTGAAATTTCTGATCTAAACATCACAGCTGAGTTTATTCTGGATTGCATTTCCTTGCCTACTTTGCAGAGAAATTGTACGAGCATCCTTACAGGTGGCAATTTAAAAGAAATGAACCTGAAAATACTAATTTAGGACATAGAATTCACCTTTACACAAGAACTGTAAAGTTTTGCAGGAAGTCAGTATTCCTCCCCATTCTCAACAATTCATGGTGGTGCTCAGGGACATGATTTGGTTGTTAGAGTTAGGGAAGTATGGTTAGGCTGTGGATGGCCTTGATGATCTTTAAGGTCTTTTCAAACCTGAGTGACTCTATGATTCATGCTATGTAAAAAACGCCCTGAGTGGCCTGATAGCCTCTTGTGAGATAGGCTGGGAACTTGTAAAGAGTCACAAAACTGGGAACTTGTCAAAGAGGCACAGCACAGGACAGGTCCTACGTCCTACTGTTATCCAGAGGTCAGTGGAAAAAATGTCTTTTGATTTAGAGGGACCCTGGAGCCTTCATCAGATTTTGGAAGAGCACAGGGTCAGCCAGATCAAGTAGAGCTGCACACATTAATTTACAAAGGTTACTGTGAGAATAATCTTACAGCAAGCTTGAAAGGAAAACAGTTTTTATTAAATGTCTCCTTTAACTATTCATAAAATGCAATTAATACAAGATTTATCTAAATGAAATTGCATTAGATTCTTTCCTTAGTAAAGCAAGAGGTTATCATTAAACTATGGCTTTTTCTGCTTCATCTATCTAGGAGACTTGCAAAATCCACGTTGTTGCTTATTCCATTATTTGGAGTTCACTACACAGTGTTTGCTCTGTTTCCTGACCGCAGTTCCAACAATTACAAAATAATTTTTGAGTTGTGTTTGGGATCTTTTCAGGTAAATTTTCAAGTTTATATTCAAGTTTTATTGACTTAGATTAGTGCTGCATACCAAGTAATGAGCATTTTCTGTTTCTAGGGATTGATTGTTGCAGTCCTGTATTGTTTTTTGAACAGTGAGGTAAGTCTTGTTTGTGTATTGAGGCTATTAATTGCTGTTTTCAGTAAATGTATAAATAAGCACCTCTGTAATTTCACTCTATGTAACATGTAGCTGTCTTAGAAAACGTTTGCATTCCTGCTTATAGAATATACACATTTCTGTGCAGCAGGATAAATCAGTGTATTTGGGTGAAGAGCTAAGAGCCTTTTGAAATGTAATTCCTTGCAAATGGCAGTGCATCTTTACTTACTGTGATCTGATTCTGACCCTGGTACAAGTTATGTGAACTGTCCCAAGTGAGGTGCAGCAAGCTCAGAAAGTCATGCAAAACTTGGAACAGAATTTAGTAAGTATTTAGGGTATGATGTTAGCACGTCAGCCACTTTTTAAGGTGTGATATTTGTTAAATAGCATTCAGTGTGTGTCAGGAGGAATCTGTCTGAAGAAGACGCTTGCACTGGGAACTGACATTCTAGTCTACTGTTGTTCTGGTCTTTGATATTCGTAAGATGACTGATTTGAGGCTAATCACTTCATTAAGTACAAGTGATTAATACTAGTGACTATTTTAACAAAAGCCACTTGTGGCAACACAAGTGATACAAATCTGAATTTAAAAGTGGCTGTGGGGTTTCTCTTCACAAACAACTGTAGGTGCAGTTTTCACCTCAGTTTTGTGAAAACTGGTTAGAATTTGTTCCCAGAAGTCCCACTTAGTAGCCAGTAAATGTGGAAAAGTTTCTCAGATAAAAAGAATGTTTTCATTCTGTGCATTTTCTTTTTAACACAGGTACAAGGAGAGCTGAAAAGAAAATGGCGGAGTTTGTGCTGGAAGCAGACAGCTGGCAGAGACTACAGACTGCACAGCTCCATTTCTCGAAATGGATCAGAAAGTGTTTCTCAGCTCCATCGGAATTCAAGGGCTCAGTCATTCATGCAGACAGAGACCACCATGATATAAGTCAGTTAGGTTCCCAAAACGTGCAAAAACTGTGGGATACATTTGTTATATGCAGCTTGATGTGGTATTTTTTAAAATGTACAGTTTATTGCTTGGCTTTTCTATATGTTGGTACTTGGGAAATTGATTTGTGCAGTCAACCAGGTAATAACAAAGACACCTGCCCCATGGATGCTTTCTGTTCTGTTCTTTAGTGCCATTCATACTAGTTTTTATGTTATCTTGCAATGTATTAGCCATAACTATTCAAAAACTCATTTACTATGAAGGTCCCTTTTGCCTCCAGCCTGTCTGTGAAACAGATATGTGGGATCCCATTTAATGTAGGCTGCTTTGTTACCTGATGAAAAGGTTATGACGGGAAGCAGAAAAAATTCTTAAACTATATTTATAGGTAATACTTCTTTCCTGAAGGATTAGGAAATTCATTCCTAATTATGGAAAACAAATGAAAAATAAAGAAATGTGAGGTTATAATTAACCACATTGGGAGCTTAGTGTGCTAATCCAGGAAAAGATTAACTTTTCACAGAGAGGAAAAAAAAAAGAAGTAAGGCTTATTAGCTAATCATATGAATTGCTAAGGCTAATTTCTACAATTTGATTCCTATCCTGTTGTCCCCTTTGAAAGTGTATGGTTTTTTATGTTTTGGTGCCTTTGCAGTCCAAGGCTTTTGTAATTGTTTTGATTAAAACATCAGCATTTGCCAGTAGTGCCGTTCTAATCACCAGTTGTACTTTTCTGTTTAAAATCAAAGAGATTTGTGTTGATATTTTATTAAACAATTTTCTGAAGAGGTGCTTTATTGTTAGAGCAGTCTATCATAAGATAAACAGCCTTGGAGAGCGTTACCCATTGAAAATATCATTTTTATTTAATATTTTCATTGAATTATATCTCTAGAACTACATACTTGGCAGCTGAAACAAAAAATACTGCAATAACGTTAGAACGCCCATTTAAGAAATAATGTAAGTTCTCCTAGATTGATTCTACTCTGTATCTATCTGAGCTGATTTAAAATTCAGTTGTGGCCATGATTCAAAAAAAAAAAAAAAAAAAAAAAAAATTTAAATGCAATCCCTAAAAATGACCATAAAAGGCATAAATGGAAGGAATTCTCAGCAACACCAAGCCTCCTGTGCAGCCACTTTGTAAAAAAAAAGATCTGACAAGTTCTTATAAATACACATGGAACATTTGCGGTTTGAAAAGAAATAAACCCAGTGATGCTTATTTCTCATGTTATGTTTAACCACGTCCACTGTAAATGACACGTTTTGCATGAGTGTTGTTGACTCATAACAGCAATTGCCCTGATATCTCAGATGATCGATCATATTAAGCCAGCAGAAAACAAGGTCAGTAATATTGCCAGGGAAGGGGAAGAATAGTGGCAAGGGCATGTCTTGGCAGGCTTTCATGTACACTCCTGGAAATATTAGTGGGAATACTGTTGGCAGTCATCAGAGTGCCTGTACACCTCTTGTTCTGATTTAATTTAGCTATTTATTGGTCAAACACAATGTATTGTAATGGAATTACCCTGGAGTGATACATAGTTCTGTCAGATCAAAGACAGGAATGTCCCAAGACTGCCCCATGGGCAGCACTCACCAGTGTTGCATGACAGCAACCTTCACTGTGCTTTATGCAACCATTTTCATGTCTGTAAAGACCCAGAGGGCACTGTTCTTACTTATTTCTACTTCCAGAAAATTCCCATATCCAAATAACTTTATACAAATTTTGAGCATCATTTCATCAGCGTGGAACTTGACTTCCATCTGCCTTTTCACACAAAAGTGCACAGTATGCTAAAATGTATTCAAAAACTGAAAATCAGTTTGACGAATCTAGTACTTGTTCAATGTTTCACATCCCTACAATGCACTGAAATAGCTGTGGAATCAAATGGTCCTGCTGGTGACTCTTCAGAGCCAAAAGGACAGTGCAAGAAAACATTTGACTCTGCCATCCCTGAATGTAGTTTGTATTCAGTCTTAGCAGCTTCAGGGGAGGAGGAGGATGAAGCAATGCAGGTGTATGCTCTGCCCATGTGGCCTTGTGACTTAGCTCTCCTCCTCTTCATTCCTATACTGCCTTTCTCACTTTGGTTGCATCAGGATCCAAACTGAGTCATAAAGGCTTCAAAGCAGGAAACCTGCTGGATTGTATTCCCACTGAAAAGCCAGTAGCACACCATGTTAACTAAACAAGAATGCTGACAAGATTCTCTCTTGTACTGTACTCAGTGGCTGTGCTTAATTGCCTTGGAGCCAGATAGGCAACGCCATTCATTTTGAGTGATTTTTGCCACATTACCTGCTGCTGATGCCTGAGGGACACATGGACAAATTACTTTCTATTTGCCGATGGTGATCAGAATCTAAATATATAAAGTTAACTTACATTTTCCTCTTCAGAGATGATGATTTTAGCTAGGCGCTTGATAAATTTAGGTGAAATTTATGTACCCTTATTTATCCCTCAAAAGTGAAATGCCTGTTCTTCAGCTAAAGACTCGTTTTAAGTGCCTTCCATATTGGCCATAAAGAAGTAGGTGCTAGTTGTAGATGATTCATCCCATGTTCTGCTGTGCTTCTAGGGCACATAAACTGAATCATGTGGTTTTTTTTCTGTATTTACTATAAAATGAGCTGAGGGTAGGTTAGGGCGCAGTAGAATAGAATACAAACGAAATGAACAGAAACTTAAGATTTCTCACCCTATGTCTGCAATTCTCTTCTCCAGAAGAGTCTGTTCAGTTGTGTTGCCAACAAATATCTAAATACTCTCTTTTAAGCCATGTAAGCTGATTGACAAAACTTATCCTCCCATAAATGCTCACATGAAGGCAATGAAGATCCCTACCTAGTCCATTCAGTGGGATGTCCCTGTGGTTGACTGCCCTCCACGATAAACCCAACAGCCTCATGACCGATACTGATTTGCCTGGGATCAACTTTCAGCAGTTTTTTTTTTAGGTGTTTGCCTTTTTATATTTGTAGATGGGTCATACAATAAAACAAAGTGCTCGTGGCTATGAGAAATTTTCTTTAAGTGAAATCTTTTGAATCACACTTAAAAACCATCTTAATTTCCTGAGAAACTAAAAATGTCAGATCTCTAAAACTCTAAGTACAACTCTGAGCATTTTCTCAAATGAATTTTCCTGTTTCTCTTCTGTGCCTCATTCAAATTTAGGATATTTTCATTCACAGAAGATGGAACATTGCAGTGTATCCCTTCAGGAAGGCGTAGAGCATTGACCACATTTCTCACTCCCACTCAGAGTTGACATGGCCATTCCGTTATCTGTGCAGTCATTTCAGCTGCTGACCAGGAGCTGATTAATGACATGAAATGATAATACTACTGGCCACTGAGAGCAGTGCTGGTTTCCATTAAATGCTGTGTTTGACGTGTTTAAGTAGCTTCTCCATGCATACCATGCTGGAGTGCACTAGGGCCCAACAGACTGCACCAAAGTGGTGATGTGTGCTGCATGTAGCATCTGAGGAACTACCCAGTTTAAGCACAAGCTGGGACTGTACTGTAGTGTTAATAACTTGCTAGCCACAAAAAGTGACAGTTTAAAAAGCCTTCTAAAGCCAAGTCAGAGGCAGCTTGCCCCATTGTGTAGCACTTGACATCCTGACACACCCCAGACAGGTTTCCCTCTGCCTTTAACATGATGAAGGCGAAAGCTGAGTGCCTCAGCAAACTGTGCAGTCTGCCTGACGGCGTGTGAAATAAGTCATTGCCGAGTGCACACACCTCACACACCAAGCATGAGGACCGAGATGAGTCATTGCCATTATTTGTCTCCTGTTCTTGGGAGTGCTAAAAAACTTATCCTGTTGATACTGAATTTGTCCATTTCAGCAAAGTGATTGTGCATAAAGCCCAAACTCATTACTGCAGGTTTTTTTTGTTTTTTTTTTTTAGACAATTTTAATGAAAATTAAACATTAAATATGTCTGATAAAAAAGTACAACCAGAAAGTAGCCTGTAGAGAAAGCTAATTTGTGTGTTAGGGTTGTTGTCTGTGCAAAGTAATACAGGAAATACTTTTACAAGCAAAAGTTCCTTCACATTGCCATGAGCACCTAGATAAGCTGTGGGCCGCCAGTACTACACCGTGACATAACCAAATAGCAGCAGGTAGTATTGAGCAGTACTGTTCTGCTCAAATGAAGAGTACTGAAACTGTAATTTCTGACATCTATATTATAAGAGTATATCAACACATATCAGTAAACCAGTGTGTCAGCTACTTAAAAAAAGCATTTTTTTATATGATTCTGTGTTTAACCTGGCTAATGATGACAGTGTGTTCAGACCATTTCCGCTGTCAGCTAAAACAGTGGCTGAAAAGTCCCCAAATCCTTTATTCTCCAAAGCACTGAAGTAAATTTCTCAACCTGCAGCTTTCCCCCCTCCCCTTTCCTGGAGCATTAGTATGAGTATTGCTTTGAAATTCTCTTTTCTTGTCTGTATAACTTTTTATCTGTTGAGTACAGTAATAATTAACGATGATGTAAATGAATGTGATTATTTTTTACAAAATGTACAGAATATGATAATGTATAGATTAATGCATGTAAATAGATTTCCTTTTCATACTTTAATTCACTATACATTTCCTCTGGTTTTACTTTCTTGTTTTCAGTGTCACATACCTAACAGCCTTCTCTGTGATGTTGTATATAAAGCTGTGAACAAACAAGCGTTTACATCTTTATGCTATCAGTGACAATAGTAATTAATAACACCATGATGAACTGAAGAGGAGTCAGAATAAAAATTTTAAAGATTTTGCACAGAACTTCTATATGTCAATACCTGTGTGGCTGGCAGCTATTTTCCAAATTGTACATCTTGCTTAATTGTGTTGTCTAGGTGTCTTTGAGAAGCACCACATAACGGACCTACAACAAAAATAAAGATTATGTAGAGGGAATACTATATATCTTATCTCCTTAAGGGAAGAATCTATTATACATCTACAGCGTGTATTCTTTAGAAAACCAAGTGCACTCAGAAACTAGATCTTAAAACTAGAAATGGTTCTCTGGCCTTGGCAGCTAGAGGTTCCTCAGCAGTAGGAGTGAAACTGAACCTTACTGCAGGAAATGAAAAGCCAAGGCTGCCCCTGCCATGGGACTGACTCGTGGAGAGGGACAAGCAGGAGCAGGACTCGGTGCCAGTGAAAGAGGTGAGCTTGCATAACAGCCACCCCAACAAAGCATGGAGCTCAGCAGGCAAAAACACCCCACAGGGATATATGGGACAAATGATAGAGAGCTGTTTTGCCTCATGGTCCAGGGAGTCTGCTTATCTGTGGCATCACAGCAGTTACCATCACCAGGAGGGGTCTTCTGACCCTTGAGGGGGCTGAGCTCTCATCCTCTCCCAGCTCACTGGTACTGTGGTCAGCATATCAGTCTGAACCCCTTTGCATTCAACTACGCTAGGGAGGAATCAAGCCCAACTTTTGCTCAGGAAAGGCAGCAGCCTGAGCCCAAAGCTGCAGGTTGCTGCATAAAGGCATAGTCTGTGTATAGCTCCCCACAATGCTGTGCCTTTAGTAGTGTTTGGGCAGTAACTTAATGGGGAAATCCTGGCTTTCAGGGCAAACTCCTGTGCTGCACGTGCTGTTGTGTTAATGGGAAGGTCCCTACATGTCCAACCAAAGAAAATAAAAATTCTTTATAATAGAACATAATAGTATTTATAACTGACTGCATTGGAATATTTTCATCTTTTCCTAATAATGTAGGCTGGGATATATAGTGATCTATTTGACATGAAGTTTAAGTTGAACTACTGTATCAAAGCATTTAATAAGTAAATATATATTGAATAAAACTAGCTATATATTTTTAACAGTCAAAATAAAGATTTTTCTAGATATATGTTACAAAATACAGTCGATGCCCTGGGTTATGCAATTAAATATTAATATTAGCTTTGGAAAATAAAATCAGTGTCAAGCTTTATGTTGAAGTCCTTCATTTCTAAGCTAGTGGTTTTGTAATTGGGACTGCTTTTCAATACAAGCCTATTGAGCTGTGAGATTCTCTGTTCTGAAAGGCTTCATTTAGCAACACCCACCGGCTCATCCCTGGTTCCCTAATTATGTTCTTCACCTGCTCCTAATTAGGCAGAAAAAGCCCAAGGTGTTATCTTTGTAGGATATGAAAAATGCTTTGCAATAATTGAATGAATCAACAGGC